CATTAAAATATCTCAACTGATGATTGAATTGAAAGAATCAAAGCAACATGATGCCTTTTCATCAGAGAATTTGCCAAAGAGTCTCCAAAGGATGCGTGAGAATCTTCCTCTCCTCCGACTCCTCAATGAACTTCTCCATCGCGGTGCGTCCCATGTAATCTTCAGGCCGGACATGATCATAGTCCGGGTAGATGACGCTGTTGTCCAGCAGATCCGCAGCAGGAGGCAGCGGCCTCTGCAGGAGCTCTCGCACATTGTCTCGCAGTCTAGCCTCCGTTTCAGCCACATCCTCCTCGTCCCACTCGGCGAACAACTTGTCCACCTGGGCATCAAACGCTTCCCTAGCTTCCTTCAACATGGCATCACTTCTCATCTTGTGCACTTGAGTGGCAGGTGGTGGGACACTGCGCTCTGTGCGCTTCAAAACTGGCTCTGTGTCAATGAACACCACTTCTGTGCTTGGCAGTCCAGCAAAGGCGGGCTTGTGCACAGGGATATTCACCTCTGCAGCTCGCAACTGTGGAAAAATGAAAAATCAAAATGAAATGCACAGTTTGGACCTTGATTACGCAAAAACCTCCGCGAGTCAAATTTTTACTTTGTCCCCAGTCTGAATCCCCTCAAGAATAAAATATTGAAGACTCCACCCCCCCCCCCCCATCCTCTTCAATACCTCACATTTTCAGGTGGCTTTTATTTTGGGCATGCAGGAAAAGAAGTAAGCAATAAAACTGTAACTTTATGGCAACTGAAGGGAATTGAGCGCATGACTATTGAATTCACTTGAGAACCAAGCACACTTTTTTTCCCAAATTTGAGCAACAAAAAAAAAAGGAATGCACATCACTTGGGCAGATATACATAAAAAAAAAAATTTGACACCTATGTGTGCATTATGCTTGATTCTCACGGGAAATTGTGGACCAAGTTTGCCAAAAACTTGACTCATTTTAAAAGCCATTCAAGACCTGAAAGATCTCCAAATTAAACTTCCACAGCTTGTGTTTTTCCCTGCAAAAATGCCTTTTTTCTCCAACTAAAAAGACTCCCCAAGCCAATTTTTGTTGTTGTTGCTGGACCCTCAGAGTTTGACTTCAAGATGTTCTCCTGCTTCATGCGCACAGCATTATTCAAAAAAGCCAACAAGTTCCAGACTCTTTTTCTCTCCAAACCTTGGCCTTGGTCTTCTCATCAACTGCAACTCGTGGTTTGGGAACCCTCGCAATCCGCATCTTTTGCAACTCAGCCGCCACATCACCAGCAGTGTTCATCACCGGATGCGCGAACTCATTTTCACTTTTCGACATTCTTCCCTGACAATTTATGTCAAATTCCCTGCCAAAAAGACAAAAAAAAAACGAACGCCAAAATCTATCCTCTGCAGAACCATGACAAAACAAAATTAATTACTCGATCAATCAATCAATCAATCAAACAACCACCTTTAGTGTCGTCTTTTATAGAAGAGGTGGGGCTTTTTTTTTTCGTACACAAATGTCGTCCGTGTCCAATTTTTTATGAAAAGGCCTTGAAGGTACTACAAGGAGAGAACGGTTGCTGTATTTTCATACTTGTAATTTTGATCAGACAAGCATCAATCTCAGCCTGGTTGCAAAAAATAGTATCCAATTGCTCAGCAGCAGACATGAACCAAAACAAACAAAACAAAAAACACAGCTTAAAGCAGCTTCAGCGAAACAGAAAGTTGCTCTACACGACACGAAACATCTTCACGCTCCAGAAAAAAATGAAAATAATAAAGTTCCCCCGAAAAAAAAAAAAATTTGCTAAAATACTTGCTCAACGTTTCTACCGGTAACTTTCTGTCACGGAACTGACATCGCCAGAAAGTAACTGTCGCGACACACACTGGGAATAAAATGTTTTTTCTTTTTCTTTTGATCTCATCAGTCTCCATAAAGTGTTGATTAAATGAGGATTAAAAACCTTCTTCTTCTTTTTCTTCTTCTTCTCCTCTTCTCTTGTCTTCCATCTTCCGCTTGTTTTCCCCTACGAATTCGAGGAAGACAAGGACTTGGCGGGACTTTGATGGACGACAACGGTAACAAAGAGGCAGAGGAAGGCTCGTTTTAGCGCCTGGTAAAGAAGGTTGTAGGGCAGGCGTAACACCAGGTCGAGGACCAACAAGACGAAGTGCTTTAAGCGGTGAAACTCGGAAGAAACGCACAAGACATTCTCATAATTGCTGGCGCTTCTTTACCCATACGGTCAGTGAAATTCCGCTAAAACAAATCTCGTTATTATGGCTAAGTTTCTTGTTGGTCCCATCAGCGTTTTTTTTCTTTTTTTTCACAAGGACAATGATTTAAAAAATTGTAAGATACAAAAATCATTCTTTTTTGGGGGTTTTTCCCAAAAATGAAAAGGGGAAAAGCAGCTCACAGGGCAGTGATGTCCCCGTTCTCGAGACGCAGGGCCATGTCCAACGGCGTCTCTTCGCGGACGTCCTTCACGTCCGCATCTGCTCTGTACCTCAGCAGCAGGCCGACGACACCGGTCAAAGACTTGGCCACCGCGTGGTGCAAAGCAGTCCTGCCAAACTTGTCCTTCAAGTTGGTGTTGGCTCCGTTGAGCATCAGGAAGCCACAGGCGGTGTTTGAGCCCTGTCAGAATAACAACACGAAAAAAAAGAAAAGACTTCAAATACGACTTTGCCCGTCTTGAATCGAAAATTGGTGACTTTCAGTTATTGATCGCTGAAAGTTAACCAGTTGAGATCGAATACATTCATCGATCTTCACACTTCAATTCAGGTTTCTCAGACATTGATTTTCAGAGAATTGAACAATAAGCTTTCTTTCAGGGGCTTCGGAAATATTTTATCTTCATTTCTAGCACGAAAGATATTGTGCTCTTAATCCGATATACACCAAAACGGGGCAATTTCAAACTTCTACACATGAAACAACCTGAAATAATTTCTGGAGCAGTGTTTCCTGCCATTTATTCCAATTATTATAATATTTTTTTCAATGTACTGCACCAGGAACAACAAAAAATCATGAGAAAAAGGTACAATATCCCATTTAAATGAAAGGAAAATACAGCAATTCAACTCGTTCCTGGATCTCCAATAAATAAATAAAAAATTACTGGACAAACTTTACTTTACTTTTTTTTTCATTGTAAAAAAAAAAGAAACGAAGAGAGTGTTGTTTTGAAACGTAAATTTATTGGAGAAAACGTACAGAGAGGACAGCCTTGTGCAGGGCAGGCATTCCGGTCTCTTCTTCCTGCCAGTCCTTGTCCGCCTTCAATGCCAACGCTTTCAACATCACAGGAACGTTGTGAGCCTCCGCAGCCCTGAACAAGAGTCTGTTCGGGTCCAGGTTCTCGATCTCTTCAAACACCTCTTCTGCGAAATGAAAAAATACAATAACGCAAATGAAGGGAATTTGCACAATATGCCATCAATTTGCGGGATAGGAAAATCAGTTCCCGAGTTTTCCACGCATTCATGTCTACATCAGGACACTTTCCTGGCTTCTATTCCCATTTCTACTCTTTGAAATTGAGATGAGAAGAACACAGCGTGATTTTGAAAGTGGAAAGTTGCACAAAAAATGTGTCAAAACATATACAGTACTTGAGAAAAAAAATTCACATGAGAAATGAACTGAGATTTGCTTCAATTTTGATAATAATAACTTACCAGTTCGATCATAATTCCAGATTAGAATGAAGATCTCATTATTCAAAAAACGTATTCTCAACGGAGCAAAATTTTCAGTATTTTTCCACGCTATTACTGCATTGTTGCCGTCAGTGAAGAGAGTACCAAAATGAAAAAATTAAAATAATTATTCGAGTAGAAATTTCTTTTTGAAAATTCAAATTGACCCGCCGAATTCATTCAAAGGTACATTAATGTACACTCGCACAGTTCTCGCCAAACCCCTCGAACCAATGCCCTTCAGTTCAGTTCAGAACACAAACCCTCAAAAGTTTCCTCATCACTCGACAGCTTCAGATTCTCGACATGATCCAACTTCATGTCCAGGTCAGCTTCAAAAACGTACAAATCCTCCGCCTTCTCCTTTTGTTTCACTGTAAAAAAGCAGGAGAAAAAAAAAAACAAACACAGCCCATCAATAACAACGTAAAGTACAATAAACAAAACACACGCAGGAATAATAATAATGCGCACGAACCAGTGAATGACTGAGAGTGCCTGGCCAGGCCGGAATGTGCCGCAGGGTTGCCAACTTTCCGATCCGCGCTCACGGGCCGCCGTCGATGCTTCTTCACGCTCCACTTCCGCACGGCGGCGCGTCTTCGTTGGCTATTCTCTCTCGCTAGTAATTCATCCACAAATCGTCTGTGGACGTACTTGGCCTCGATCCACGCTCTTCTCGCTTCACTAAGGGAGAAATCAATAGATTTCAACACACTGATTTCCTAGTCGAGACGGAATGTATTTATTGATCTCGACAGTTGAAATTAAATGTCAAGGATGTATGGATCCTCAGAAAATTGAACAAGCTTTCCTTTAGCGGCTTCGCAATTGTTTCAACTTTATTTTCAGCAAAGTTATTGTGACTTTAATCAGACACACGCCAAGACGCTCACACGTGGCATGAACAAAAAAAAGTAAGATTTTTGAATGAAGAATACTGAAGTGTTTCGATAAGTCGATAGCAAGCATGGGGCTCACTTTACTTTGTTTCACTTTCGTTCGAACTGTAAATTAAAGTTTGACGTAGGTCTTCTTATTCTGCCCAGATCAAAAGATGAAGGTGACACGCGTCTCCAACTCTCCACGATCGAAAATGGAAAATAAATAAAAACGAGGAGTCGTAGAAATTAAAATCAGAAAAAAAAAGAAGAGTGAAACACTATACTCCTCACTTGCTACAGTCAGACACGGGCTGAAGCCCATCAAATTTCGCCAGATACACCCTGTTGACAGTCGTGTTCCCGAGCTCCGCAAATACTTTCACAACATCCGGCTCCCATTGGTCCAGATTCAGCGACCTCACTTTGCTCACTTGCACCCCAAGGCTTCTATGGATCCCGGAACAATCTGACCAAAAGAAGAATAAAAAAATGAATGACCAGGAAATATATTCAGCTTTGACTATTCTCACTGATGCACAACGTGACTCCAAGGTTGATGCTTGCCCACGTGGGTTTCGGAGCACCGCAGTCTGCGCAAACATCGTTGCCAGGGATCTTCACCAGATTCGACAGCGCTCTGCAAATGCATGAAGAAAAAAAAAGGCATCATTTCACTCTTCAACTCGTTACGATTTTCTTATGCATTCTGTTGAAGTTGAAAATTTTATCCAGCAGCATGGGTAGATGTCACCGGAGGCCAGAATGAAATTAAATTTTACTCCGAGTCACTCCCACGTTTTACCTGCTCAGGATTGTTCCTCTTCGCACACAAGGAAATCAAGTCAATGTGTTTATGCTTCAAAATTTTCAACTTTCTCTTTCCTTTTTATTAAAAGATAAATTTGGACTCAACTTCCGCACACACACAAACACACCAGCAATTTATTTTCGAAACAGGGTGAAATCTGCTTTAGGACAGGAACTGACCCTTTGTCAACGTCTTGCGCCGTCCTCGGCTGCAGGGGAGAACCCGAACTGGCGTCAGAGCCCTGGCTAAACTGGGACATCGACGCTGCAGACAAGCCCCTGGGCAACGACGAGTGTCGGGATTGATCCGAGGGTTCGTTATGAGGGATCGCCTCCAGGGCCCTTTCAATCCCGTTCTGCAAAGCTGCAATCCAGGCCTTGAAAGTGTCCTCGTCATCCGCTTGCAGGACGTGATACCTGTAAGAAAAAAAAAGAGATCTTTGTTGCCCAACTCAGATGCGGACAAGGGCCACATTGCAGAGGTGGAGAGTCCTTGCGGGCCTCGACAGACGATTTTTCAAGTTTTCAAACGTACTTCTTTTAATAAAAGGAGAACTACTGTATTCATATTTTTAAATTCAACTTTGAATTTATACTTCGAATAGCGGTGGCTGCCAGTTTGAAAATTATAGGAAAGGGACCTTAGGACAGATGAAGAGTCTGTGTGGGCCACATCTGGCCCACGGGACATATGTTGGATAGCAATACTTCATTTGAGGGTTACACTGGGAAAGTGTTTTTCGGCCGTTAGTTAAGATGTCACTCCTGTGCATTTGCGGCATTGGAATAACAGAAGGAAATAATTTACTCCACTTGATGAAAAACAGTATTGCACACAACATCTCAAATATACACTGGTAAACTTTCCTCTCGCTCTCTCTCTCTTTTTTGTTCTCTCACCTGGTTGGAGAGTGAACTTCAAAGCAAAATCTCTTGTCAATGTCCACAGCTGGCTTCACAGTGCAAAGCTTCAAGTCTTCCTCCATGATGGTCAATTCTTCTCCTGAAGGAAAACAACAACAACAAAAAAAGGACAGGAATAGATCAATCAATCAATAGATGGCTCCGGTCATCAACGTCCTCATTGCGGAATATACCATTGCGCTTTCGGTACAAGAGCCGATTTTTGTGCAGCATGAACCACCTTCGATGCCAGGTCCTGAACGTGTTCGACGTTCTCTTGAACAAGTAACTGCCAATCACAGCATCGTCCCCGTTGATTTCTCGGTAGAGAGCTTCTTGCGGGGACTTCTCACTCAACAGGTTTTGCGCAGCCTGCGTCCGGCTTTCCAGCTCTCTCTGCAAATCCGCCTTTTCCGTTCTCCATTGCACCATCTGATGGAAAGGATGTTTCATCAAGCCAATTTCAGCGTTCATTGAATTCATTCCATCATCATCGGAAACAACTCTGCAAACCTTTTATTTTTGGCATTTCCCAAATTTTTCTTTTGAATAATCCTAAATTACCTTCATTTACTCCGGTAACACACGCATCTTTTTTTTCAAAATTGACGGGAAAAACAGGCGTGGACACAAATTTCAGAAAATGTTGGATGTTTAGATGTCCGTCACACTTGGGAAATGTTTGATGGAAACTTTTATAAATGACACAAAAATTGAAAATTGATTGAATTCGGGTTCAATTCATGCTCAAATTTCATTTCTTGTTTCTTTCATTTTTGGAACATTGCAGTTTTTCATACACTTGAAATTGGGGTGTGCGTTTTGCTTGGGGATAGGATTTAAATCAGAATTTCACCGTGAAAAATTTGAGCGTATGTCTTACTAAAATAAATAAGGTAATATGAATTTTAGACAAGCACGAAGGTAATGAATTAGAACAGCAGAAAAAGGACACAGATGATCTAGCCAATTTACCAGTTTTTTTTTTTGCGATTGCAGTTGAAGAGATCGAAAATTTTGATCAAAACAGAAAATTAAGGGGGAGAAGACAATTTATTTATTTATTGATCATTTTCACAGATACGCTTAAGGTATTCCCAAATTTTAGCATCAATTTGTTGTCCGAACAACTCACGTGAGTTCCAAGCTTCTTCAACTCGGGCTCAACGTCAGTGCAAGTGTCGAAGCCTTGACGAAAAAACGTCACGTACGCTTTCACATACGACATCACCTGGAAATAAATGAGACCAAAATCCGTCACTGGTTTTGCAGAAGAGAAATAAAAAATGTATCAAGCACTCACACAACTCAGGATTTTCCTCCTTTTGGTCGCCTGCAACAGACTCAATTTAGAAACGTAGTCGAGCGTCGTGTGCAAAAAAGCTCCTCGCGTCGCAATCAACATGTTCCGCATTTCCTCATGGTCCTGCTGTTTCAATTTGGACACCTGGGAATTTTTCACCAGGGCTGCATCGTAGTCGGCGGACATTTTGTTGAAATGATGCTTGCTCTCCTTGATCTTGCCGACATGCCTGCAACACACGTCCATTTTCGCGACGACAGTAAAAAAAAATGCATCATCATTAACGCGAAAATAATTTCTCCTCACTTGGACACAAACTGGGACAGATCGTGGGCGACAGAGCGAGAAAATTGGTCCAGCAGCGTCACGTGGAAATCGCTGATTTCCTGCAGCTCAGGCACGAGCTTCTCAATGATGGACGACAAGGTGCCGTCATCCGACAGAAAAATCCCCAGGTCCTTCAGTACTTTCAACACGGAACTGGGGCAGGGAAAAACAAAAAGAGGCCTTCAATTGGAGTCGAAATTTCCAATACTTTTCCTATACGCCGACTTACTTTTGCTGTGAGACGTACATTCTTCCAGAATCCACCATCTGTTTGGTCAGTTTGATGAGCTGCAACAACAACAAAAATCGATTTAGTGATGCAAGAATAAAATTTATTCATGAATTTTTGAATAAGGTTTTTTGAAGTCACTTTCGCACCATTGAGATAGAAATCTTGGATTCAAGTTTAGCAGTAAATAGGAGATTCACATAACCAAAATGAAAAAAGATAATTGCTCAAGCCCATTTGTCTGATGAATTTGAATAAGGAAAAAAGCTAGGAAACCTCTTCAGCTTCGTTTCAAGACCTTGTAAACTTTTATACATATTGAAAGACTTTCCCAGAATTCGGAAGTTCCTTAAACCTGAAAACGTATTCTTCAAGCAGGTAAGTCTGCTGCAATAATTGATTGAGAATGCCCACAATAGAGTACGTGCGTGATAGAAAGACACAAAGACAGACCTTTTCAAGCCTGTTCTCGAGGGCATCCACATAGTTCTCATTCTCCTCCACAGTGTGCCTGAACTTTGGTGAGTCCCACACACAGTCACTGAGGTCCACAATCGGCCTGGCCCCCATTTTAACCACACTCTCAAGTACCCACTCATCCACGCCTCACTTGACGTTCACAGCGAAAAATATCTTTTTCTGCAACGCAACAAAAATCGGACAAGACCATGTGACAAGTATTCAGATTCGGTTCATCTTGAGATAAAAGGAAAACAAAAGAGTTGCGGAAGAAAATGCCCTTTTCACAGCTTCGTCAAATGCCACTCAAAGAAAAAAGGCAACTGCAAACTTTCTCATCTCCCCCCTGATTCCATGTTTTTGTTATTCGATCGCCAGGACTAAAAAGCATCCTTCACAAACCAGTCACGAAAAGCAGTACAGATCCATTTCTAACAATATTGCACACTTTTTTCTTCTTCCCAAACTGAAAAGCAACACTCGAACCACACCGGGTCGGAAAAACCACACGCAAAATGGCTGACGCATCAAGACCATTCCTGCTTCAGGCGAGCAGCCATTGTGTTCAGCTGGATGTTGGAAGTGCCTTCGTAAATGGTGCCGATTTTAGAGTCTCTGTAGTACTTCTCAACGAGGGAGTCTCTGACAAAGCCCATGCCTCCCATCCAGTCAACAGCCTGTGATGCAATCTCCTGTGCTGTTTCTGAAATAATCCAGGAATACAATCAGGATATTACAAGACACATACAACAACAAATGTTGACATTTCACATTTTAGTGTGTCCTGAAACAGGTTAACCATGCAATTTCCTGTGCAGTTTCTGAAATACAGTAATCCATGAATGCAATCAGGAAATTAAGAGACACATGTACAAAACGCTGTCATTGTTTATTTTAGTGTGTCCTGAATGGGGTTGAAAATACCAGCTTTTGTGCATCATGGTTCCATCTTTTGCATAGCAACTTGGATTGCTACACAATATCATGCTGGTTGTGCCACTGTTTACAAATTGTCCATCTTTCAAATATCCCAGTTTTACTTTTACTGTCAGTACACAGTCATGAGCTGCTGGCACACACCCAAATTGATTTAAACAAAAAAAAGTGTGCGAACACTATTTCATTACTCGTTGACAGTCTGTTTGTGCTAAACAAAACCCCTTTGCAGGAAATATATATACAGGTGGACTCTCTCTACAGTGATCTTGTCTACAACAATTTCTTTTTTGGTCCCACAGAGTTTTCTTTCCATGTTAGAAGTGTTCTCAAAAACAAAACTTCCTGGTCCCTTGAATTTTGCTATTGAGAGTTATTAGCTTATATTAAGCAAGAGGAGTCTGTTCATTTAATAAGACACTTAGGTAATGAAGAACTGAAATCTCCCCTTTCAGTATCTGAAATGATGTTGGTCTAATGGAAGTAACTACTTTAGAACCAACAATTTGGTGCAAGAGTATTTACAGTATTTCAATGAGAATCTCAAATGTTATTGTATTGGAGAATACAATAACAATACTTACATAATAATACAGTATTACTCATAGGCAAATTTCAGGCTTCTGAAATTGAAAATTCACAAGCCATGAAATCAAAAGCTTAACTTGTTCAACACATCATATTCTTCTGAATTTTTTTTCACTCTAATTCCTTTGATATCTATTTACTTTTGGTACAAACACACTTTATCAGACTTTCCTGTCTGATTTTCTCAAATTTGGTCATGCATTCATGTCAGTTACAGTACAATAAAATAGGTGCACCTGAGCAAAACAGCTTGGCCATGCAGGCCTCCTTGACAAACGGCAGGTTGGCTTCCTTGAGTCTCGCGGCATTGTACACCAATAACCTGGCACATTCCAGCTTCATGCAAGCTCTGGAAATCTGGTGCTGCATGGCTTGAAATTCAAAGAGTTTCTTGCCAAACTGGGACCTCTGCAGCGTGTAGGGGATGGCAATGTCCAGACAGCCCTGAGCCAGACCAACCATTTGCGCGCCAATCCCGATTCTGCCCTCGTTCAGCGAGGAAATGGCGTACTTGTAGCCCTCTCCCACGTTGCCCAGGATGTTTTCATCCGGCACCTGGAAAATGCAAAAAATGTCTCATACTGTGATTCTGCAATCCAAAGTGAACGAATATTGGGCAACATACAAGGGGGTTTCTCAAAAGTTCTGCGAGTCACCAAAGAAGTTTAATTGCAGGCTATTACTGAAGTAGATTTCTACCAACTATGTACAAAAAATAAAACTGTTTTCAGGGACCTCTTATTTTGACCTTTGGATCAAGCACAAGGAGCATTTTATGTAATGAAGAAAATATGTCATGCTCAAGATCCTCCAATTTGAGTCGGCAATTATATTTATCACTTCAATTCATTTCTAAAACTATCCTCTTCAACACCTGAACTATTCTCCTCCACTAAATGTTCATCAGAACACTACGTTTCTCTATTTTAATAATCCCAAACACAATAATTTTCACTTGATTTTTTTTTATTTTTAAAGCCACTCAGCAGCAGTCATGAAGTCCATAAGTACGGCTTTCTCACAGGACAAATGTTTAGATAGAATTTATTTAAATTCTCATTTTATCCAGGACAAATTGAATGAAATTGATTTTCAACTAATCAACAATACGTTGCTGAAAAAAAGGGAATGTTTCCTCAGAGTGCCATGAAAATATACTTATGATGCACTTCGCAATTCTTTCGAGAAAATAACCCCCTAGAATGTTTTAGTTTTGTTTTTGGTACGTTCACACTGACATGAACGTCCTCGAAATTCAGCACACAGGTTGCAGAGGCTCTCAGTCCCAGTTTCTTCTCCTTCTTGGCAATGGAGAAACCCGGGGTTCCTTTTTCCACGATGAAGCAAGTGATGCCCTTGTATTTCTTGCTCGGGTCGACATTGGCCATCACCAGGAAAATGTCGGCAACGTCTGCGTTCGAAATCCAAATCTTCGACCTGCGACACAAACAAGGATAGATTCAGCATCAAAATGTCGTTGCACTGAATAATTTCTAGCAACGAGATTTTTAAAATTAAATGACTGGGAAAACATTTCTACATCAGACCTGCCAATGATCAATTAGATCTTGCTTTTCTGGCTTTCTCCTATTTTTATTTTTGTTTGAAAAACTCGAGTGATTTTCTGAAAAATAAAATTAGCTTCAACCATGTGATCCATCAGTTGCACCAATCTCTTCATTGCGGGAGGATGATGTGAGAAACCAGTTGGAAACGTGTCTTGTCATTGATTACAGCTTCCATTCATACTCTAAAAAACCAGACAGTCACATTTGGGATTATAAATTTTTAGACTGTGTCTGCCTTAGTCAGAAACTTTCCACCAACAGAATTCACTGAACATTCCACAAAAAAGTGTGTTATACTGGAATTAGTGTTTTAATAAGTACTCTACGGACTTCCTGCCAGGACTTGAGAAAAGTTTGTTATACTGAAAAATTCTTTGTAATGGTATTAGTTGAATCGAGATTTTCCTGCAGTACCCTGTGTAGCACTTCGCATAAATTGCACACTTCCACAATTGATGAAAGAAGTACGTCACGCATTTTTTATAAAAGATAAAAAAAGAGGCCTGCCCTGTTGAAATATTCCACCACAACTTCAGAGCTCGCCTTAAAAAAAAAAAAAAACTTCCAATAACGCAGAAAAAAAAAAATAATAAACCCACCCATTGATAACGTATCCTCCGGTTACTTTTTCGGCACGAGTTTTCATGGCAAATGCATCAGAACCGGATTCGGGCTCAGAGAGACAAAAAGACCCCGCTGTTTGCTGGGCCAGCCTCGGAAGATACTTTTCTCTCTGCGCCTTGGTTCCCAACGATGAAATCAGCGCGTTGATGAGCGTGTTTTGAATGTCCACGAGGATGCCAACGGTTGGATCAACTCGAGATATTTCTTCAATCACCAGCAGGGATTGGAAGAACGATGTGCCTGCTCCACCAAACTCTTCTGGGATCTCCAGACCCATGAACTGAGGAGAGGAAAAATGGAAGAGAGATTCTTGAGAATTATTTCTGATTCCAACGCCCCACTGTTTCCTTTGTTGTCACATAGGTGTCGCCTGAATTTTAAATAAAAATCTAATAATCAGTGTGGGTGTGTTCTTTAAATTTTATTTGTCCATGAATCACGAGTCCAAAACCATGTGATTTTCTTATTACTCTAATACAGGCATTTATTCTAACCCACATCGCGGTTTCTTAGGCCAGGTCAGGACTGGTAAGGATATAGACTCAGGTAAGCACACGAAGTGACAATTTTTGAAACAGGTTCTTCTACACTCACCCCATTCTCAAAAAGGTCTTTAATCATCCCGGGATCGAACTTCTCGTCCTCATCCATCTTCATCACAAGGGGCTGGATTTTCTCTCTGGCGAATTTCGTCGCTAAAACAGAACAAAACAAGGATTAAATCAAAATTTGTCACGACAAAAACAAAAACATTTTCACGCAGCAGCAAGACACCAGACATGACATTTACTAACTCGGAAAATTTTCATTTTCAACTGGATAATCTGACTTGTCAATGCTTGGATTGCTACACAATATCATGCTGGTTGTGCCACTGTTTACAAATTGTCCATCTTTCAAATATCCCAGTTTTACTTTTACTGTCAGTACACAGTCATGAGCTGCTGGCACACACCCAAATTGATTTTTTTTTTTAAGTGTGCGAACACTATTTCATTACTCGTTGTCAGTCTGTTTGTGCTAAAAAAAAACCCTTTGCAGGAAACATATATACAGGTGGACTCTCTCTACAGTGATCTTGTCTACAAAAATTTCTTTTTCGGTCCCACAGAGTTTTCTTTCCATGTTAGAAATGTTCTCAAAAACAAAACTTCCTGGTCCCTTGAATTTTGCTATTGAGAGTTATTAGCTTATATTAAGCAAGAGGAGTCTGTTCATTTAATAAGACACTTAGTAATGAAGAACTGAAATCTCCCCTTTCAGTATCTGAAATGATGTTGGTCTAATGGAAGTAACTACTTTAGAACCAACAATTTGGTGCAAGAGTATTTACAGTATTTCAATGAGAATCTCAAATTGGAGTATTGGACAATACAATAACAATGCTTACATAATAATACAGTAATACTCAGTATTGGCAAATTTCAGGCTTCTGAAATTGAAAATTCACAAGCCATGAAATCAAAAGCTGAACTTGCTCAGGTCACATCATATTCTTCTGAATATTTTTCCTTTGATATCTATTTAATTTTGGTACAAACACACTTTATCAGACTTTCCTGTCTGATTTTCTCAAATTTGGTCATGCATTCATGTCAGTTACAGTACAATAAAAAAGGTGTACCTGAGCAGAACAGCTTGGCCATGCAGGCCTCCTTGACAAACGGCAGGTTGGCTTCCTTGAGTCTCGCGGCATTGTACACCAATAACCTGGCACATTCCAGCTTCATGCAAGCTCTGGAAATCTGGTGCTGCATGGCTTGAAATTCAAAGAGTTTCTTGCCAAACTGGGACCTCTGCAGCGTGTAGGGGATGGCAATGTCCAGACAGCCCTGGGCCAGACCAACCATTTGCGCGCCAATCCCGATTCTGCCCTCGTTCAGCGAGGAGATGGCGTACTTGTAGCCCTCTCCCACGTTGCCCAGGATGTTTTCATCCGGCACCTGGAAGACACAAAAATGTCTCATACTGAACTGTGATTCTTCAATCAAACTTAAACGAATATTGGGCAACATACAAGGGGGTTTCTCAAAAGTTCTGCGAGTCACCAAGGAAGTTTAATTGCAGGCTATTACTAAAGTAGATTTCTACCAACCATGTACAAAAAATAAAACTTTTTTCAGGGACCTCTTATTTTGACCTTTGGATCAAGCACAAGGAGCATTTTATGCAATGAAGAAAATATGGTCATGCCCAAGATCCTCCAATGTGAGTTGGCAATTATATTTTTCACTTCAAATCATTTCTAAAACAGTCTTCTTCAACACCTGAACTATTCCCCTCCACTAAATGTTCATCAGAACACTTCGTTTCTCTATTTTAATAATCCCAGACACAATAATTTTCACTTGATTTTTTTTTATTTTTAAAGCCACTCAGCAGCAGCCATGAAGTCCATAAGTACGGCTTTCTCACAGGACAAATGTTTACATATAATTTTTTTTTCAATTCTCATTTTATTCAGGACGAATTGAATGAAATTGATTTCCAACTAATCGACAATAAGTTGCTGAAAAACAAGGGGATGTTTCCTCAGAGTGCCATGAAAATATACTTATGATGCACTTTGCAATTCTTTCGAGAAAACAACCCCCTAGAATGTTTTTATTTATTTTTTGGTACGTTCACACTTACATGAACGTCCTCGAAATTCAGCACACAGGTTGCAGAGGCTCTCAGTCCCAGTTTCTTCTCCTTCTTGGCAATGGAGAAACCCGGGGTTCCTTTCTCCACGATGAAACAAGTGATGCCCTTGTATTTCTTGCTCGGGTCGACATTGGCCATCACCAGGAAAATGTCGGCAACGTCTGCGTTCGAAATCCATATCTTCGACCTGCGACACAAACAAGGGTAGATTCAGCATCAAAATGTCGTTGCACTGAATAATTTCTAACAACGAGATTTTAAAAATCAAATGACTGGGAAAACATTTCCACATCAGACCTGAATAAGATCTTGCTTTTCAGGCATTCTCCTATTTTTATTTTTGTTTGAAAAACTTGAGTGATTTTTTGAAAAATAAAATTAGCTTCAACCATGTAATCCATCAGTTGCACCAATCTCTTCATTGCGGGAGGATGATGTGAGAAACCAGTTGGAAACGTGTCTTATCATTGATTACAGCTTCCATTTATACTCTAAAAAATCAGACAGTCACATTTGGGATTATAAATTTTTTAGACTGTGTCTGCCTTAGTCAGAAACTTTCCACCAACAGAATTCACTGAACATTCCACAAAAAAGTGTGTTATACTGGAATTAGTGTTTTAATAAGTACTCTACGGACTTCCTGCCAGGACTTGAGAAAAGTTTGTTATACTGAAAAATTCTTTGTAATGGTATTAGTTG